GAAAGATGGATGAGATGTTCTCTATTTTCTCATGGGTATTTCGCAACACTCAACATACAAATTCTACCAAGGAGGCTGGTATTTACGGGAGATCTCATCACTGTTACAAGGAACGTGTTCACATGACCCTCAATTAATTGCAGGTAGATCTGTAGAAGCTACCTGGTTTATGAAATTGAGTAAAAATTTAAAATTTTGCCTTCCATGGCATATTGACTGCGTGACGCCAATTAAAATGGAGAAAATCTTGCAATGTCAGTTTTTCATACTGTAGAACAGTAAAAGTCTAGTTATATCCAATCTGCAAAATGGAAACAAGAGAAGTGCTTAAAGCAAGGATTGAATGGAGCGAAAAGGCTTCCGCATTATCATATATTAAGGTATCGCCTGGGCTTCATTGTGACCGGTTGTTCATTAGCATTTCTGCGACATTTCGAAACAAAGGTACATACATTGTGCATACTCGTGTTCCATCACCTGCACCACAGAAGCGATGCAAAAGTTTTGGTAACGCTTGGATCATCACAGCGGCAGGTTTGTAAGTGACTCGGTCTGCAACGGCTGTTTTGAGCGAGATGAGGTAGTCAGTGACGCCATCTGTGTCGCCGAGCTGTCGTCCTTTAGCACGCAGCGTTATGACTGATCGTTAGCGACTAGTGCATACAGTATGCCTTGCTAAACTGTAGCGGTGGAGGCTGAGACTGAATAAGCGGTGGGGCGGCGCAACATTTGCCGGACATTCGGTGATAGCACTTGCGAGTGTAAGTAAACGACTTGTTTATTTTATATCGGTTGTGCTTCTAATAAACACGTGGCCGCTCAGCGAGGCTAAGTGGGGCCCTCGATGTGCACTCGTTGTAGCTTGATTGCTAGCCCGACGCTTGACTGAACTGCACTACGAGACCGAAATTGATCTCGGCTTTCAGCGATCGGCGTTCACTCACTTTCAAACCATTAGTCGGTGACACTTTAATGATCATCTCGTTTGCCTGAAGTTCCGCCGTCCGTCTGTGCAACGCTGCTGATCCGCCGGATCCGCCGGATCGCTTCTGGTTCTGAGGTGCAAGCAACAGCTAACCTCTGTTCGAGTGACAACTCGGTGAAGACGTTTCTGTCGCGAGATGCGCTTGTTCAGCCGGCTGACTGCCGTTGGTCGGCCGGTGCAGACGTTGTAACACCTGGCGCTGGTAGCCTAGCAGAGAGTGCAAATAGTGCGCTAATAACCGACCGAACCAACGCAGCTTTGGCCACTGTAACGGGTCACAGTGCGTCGATAGCGGTGGGTAGGATTGAGCTGAAAACAGCCGTTGAATGAGACCAAAAGTTAATGTTATGTACATTTTTTCTTGCTTCTGGCTGTCTGACAAATAATACTGCACTTAGAGTAGCGTCAGATACAATTACAATGGGGCAGCAAGTAAATTTATGCCTATTGCTTGTTTTAAGTGCATAGAATGACAGTGGCATGATAATACGACAGCACATGCCATCAGACACTTTGCATATAAGTTCTTGATGTTAAAATCAGTGTCCAGGGTCAACGTTATTCAAGCAGAGAGCTATCAGCTCACAAATCTTCTTATTTCCATTGCAGTCAGTTTGATGGCCACAAGTATATCTAGCCAGAAAGTACTGACACCAGTATCCATGTCATTAACAACAACAGTCTTTAATTGCAACGCAAATAGTCAGAATCACATCCCACGACGGATGAACTGTTTACAATAGCATTGGTTTCGACGCTCAATGAGGGTTAAATAACAGAACTACGAAAAGAATGACTCCATTCTATTTGGGACATAGGTTACATCAGTTGACACAGAGATTAAGAGAATATTGGCCTTATTAGACAAAGTGATTGAGCATGAACCACTAACTCCAGCCCATGAGCTTTCAGTATGGGAGTGGAAACACGGCCGAAATCGATCAGAAGGCCAGCATTCAACCTGGAGAAACAGGGTAGAGTTAAATCTGCATTTCCTTCTATGATGCAGTAACCGGCACCCTATAGCGAAAGTGTTGTAAGAGACGATCAGTGCATGCAAACGGCTCAAGGTGATGATTTCAACAATGACAACACACTTAATAAGTATTTAAAATTTATTTGCGAATATCAGTGCTCATTGAAAAAATTGCCATACCTTTGGTGTGACACTTCGTTACGATAGATTACGTCTCTCGTCAAGTAATCACTACAACTATCGTGAAATTTTGAAAATGAGCTGTGAAACATAGACGAAGGCATTGCTAATCAGATGAATCGTTAATTTCGTTTTGTTTCATTTTGAATCTTGCAAAACTGTGAGTGCCATCTATGAAACTTTCATTTACTTTTATGAATTAATGTAATTCGACCCGTCATTTTTGTACGGGCGTTTCAATGAGATTGTTAGAAGAACGTTAAAATTGCGCTTTGGAAGCATCGTATTGTTCAATAAAACGAGCCACTGCGGGTTAACCGCTTCGCTATGCCTTTTGTAAATTATGCTCTGCATTTGACCATATTGGATCCATCGTTAAAAGCCATACCATACTATGGTGCTTGTAAATAATGTGGCTCTCTAAAATGAATTTAGTGTGATCAAAAACTGTCGGTTTATCAAATGTATACTTCTGCTAACTGAGCCTGTTATAAACTTCGATGGAGAATCACAGAATGTCGAATGTTTCGTTCATATTTTCATCATAAATAATTTCTAACGCTCATATCATATTTTGAACATGTTTGAAGTTAAAAGGCATTAAGAAGTGCTACGTAAAAAGTGAATTCCAACCGATGGTGAACAGAAATTAAAACAAGTGTCATGTAGTCTTTCCTCTAAAGTTGTTTCTTCGTTAACAACCGACTTCAGCTAGCTGATTGGTAAGCTAAGAATTGAAACTAAATAGTTGCTGGCAAATTGGACGAGAAACTACTTTGAAGGAAAATGTTCATCAGCTTCAGATCCGGATGCCAGGTGAACCGATATCTATAGCAACATATTTTCTAAGTCTCTCTGACGTCGCTATAATCTTTTAATCACAATTAACGAATGCTCATGGGTGAATGGATGTTCATCAGTCGTTAAGTAGCGGACAAATGCCGCAGTCAGGTGGTTTAGCTTCTACATTTTCCGAGATTCATCGGCAGATAGAAATCACAAAGTTAGTAAATATGTCTTCAAGTAAGATAGTTCTACAATTGCAAAGTGTATTTATTTACTATTTTATGCTGCATAAGCATTTTATCATCTATAGCAATGATCCTTACCGGGCGTCCATTACTGAGAAAGTTAATTTGTTTCTAGTTGCTAATGGAACTCTGCCGCAAGTTTGGAGAACGTTGTTTTGAAGCTTCAGTGATTGAGTATGATGTATCACTGTGCCCATAACGCATGTTGAATATGGATTAAACTCTAATTTTCTCCTTTTGTATTACTTTTATAAATGAAGACTAAAACTTACACGCAGTACTCATACGATTCATTTTTTCCAAGAAATAAATACATGAAGATAGTTCAAAATTGCTATAATCTAAACGGCGTAAATACAGATAAATGAAGACGTTAAGTGTTTCGAAGATTAAAAGAAAAAAATAATTTTAAATAATTGGTCTTTTGCCGTTGTGCCGCATTTTGTTTCAAGTATCCACAGTGAATGACAAGCTACTGTGGCGCATTTTTGAATTTTGGCACCAATGTTATGTCAAAGTTCTGCTTTTGTAGACTACTTTGCGTTTCTTGAAATTCTCATAAAAGGATCTATATGTATATTTCATAGTAGAAAAGCAAGTTATCATAAAGGATTTACTCCTTAGCATCAGAGGGATTATCAACAAAGTTAGAAGTGAAAAAATTGGCTGTGAGTATTAACAGATGCGCAAGTCATGAAATTTGCTGCGCTCACCTGAGATCCACAAAGTTGAAATGGAACGTGTCTTGCATGTAAATATTTGGAAAGTAAACATTAACCAAATTCAAATCCATGAGAGGGCAGACTAATTTGCTTTATTATTATGAAAATAGGGAAATGAAATTTTGAATATGCATATTAGATCAATGCTTCGCTCAATCTAAGAGTGATGCTAGGAGAATTTACAATCGAAAACCCTCGAAATTGTGAAAGTAACTTTGTAAATTTGCTCTCAAATTGCCGTTAGTTGTCATTCCTAAATGCAACGAATGAAATTTCACTCCATTGTAAAACTTCTAACAAATGCATGCGAAATGTTTTGCGGAAACTTTGTTTCAATCACAAGCGGTAAATATTTATTTTAAAACTAACTCACATGTAACTGCAATTGGTATCAACCGACGTAACCAAGAGTCACTTTTGAATTTATGGTTTAACCTTGCGTCATTTATGAATCTTGCAACATTTTCAACAGATGGACTTCATGGATGGGTATCGACTGTTTAGCCAATTAATTGCGATACTATTCGATGATCAGCCTCGGATCGGCTTAACCTGAGATTCAGCAAATCCATTTTAACACGATTTGACGTGTTCTCTAACTGTTTTTTGAGCCTAAGTTTCTGCCAAGGAAGGTGGCGAAAACAAATTAGCTTATGAAAGCCTTTACATTAATGGCATTCAGTCACCGTTATGCAGAATCGATTACTTCATGCTTATCCATGATTGGTGTCACTGGCATTGACGATTGTGATTTGTGCTCCATCTTTCATGTTTGGCTACGCTCTTACAGCTGACATGGAGAAGCCTGTGAAAATCGCATAACAAAGGCTCGAATGTGTTGAGCGCTGCCCTGAAAATGACGCGCTATCATCAAGCCTGCTTTAAGTACACACTCGTTTAGTAGCCATTGTTTTCCGATTTACCGTCTATTTTCTTTTGTTCTTTCAAGCTGCAACGGCAGCAAATGCTTCCAAATTATTTATTAATAAGACATAACTGTTGCAGCAAGTACAAACGCAAAGAACGAAGGTTACTCTAATACCGTACAATATCACCATCGATGCGCATTTTATGCTGGACGAAAGGTAAACGTTTCAATTCATTAGTCACTGCTTCAAGCTGGGAAGAGTTATTGAAGATCCCCCGCATTCTTCGCCGGAGCGTACCGAAAATTCACGTATTGATTGCGCGCTGTCCACCATTTTTGGTATGGTAATGCCAACGTTGATAACTCGAGGGGCGGCTATCGAGCTGATTGGTTGACCGGAAGCGATCAGCATGTTTCTGGAACCACTGAGCGATGGCGTGCCGAATAGCTGCGGCAGATGAACGACCGATGACGATGTTCTCAGATTACTGTTCCACTGATTTGGCAAGGTCGAGTAAAACGATGAATGAAACAGAGGGTTGGACGTGTCAATTAGTCCGTTGAACGGTGGTGGCGCTGCTATGCTCGGAAATTGACCGCATCCAACATTCGCTGCGCACAGGGGCGAAAACGTGGTCATGTTGAAAAGAGAGCCTGGGTATCGCAAGTTCATTTGATTCTGGAAGCACTCCTTGAGGGATGTTGAGTTCCATGAAGCGAACTCATTTTCGGCATTCATAGCTGAGGAGATAATAGACGCCTTTGTATTAGTGTTGTGCGCTGAATCTTGCAAACAGAGGAAATGTTCGATCGCTTTCGTCAGGTCGCCGTTACAGCCTTGAAGCACCAATTCCAAAGCCTCCTTTCGCTGATGAGGAAATAACTTTGACAGTATATCGCATTGTTTAAATCGACACTGACGAAACTCAGGCATTGACTCAGGAACACTAACAGGTTTGTCGTCGACGACAAGGTCTTCTGATCTGCTAGTCGCTTTAAAGTCGTTTTCGGTCACTGATGTGCTAGCTTCCTCGTTGATGATGACTGTCGAATCAGAACCATTCGCCACCGTCTCGCTGGACTTTTTCGATGCTTCCTGCTTATCACCTTCTACAGTGAACTTACCCCAAACTGGCCCTGGTGGTAGAAAGCCAAGGTTTGTCGTTTCGCCTGATATGGTTCTCAATCCAAGCGCGATCGCGTCTTCAGCCGCCTGTTGCCTCTTGAGACTTACTTGCGCAGCCATTACTCTCTGACGCTCAGCGATCAGGTTGCACTTTATACAGGTGCAGTCTCTTAAAATACCAAACCGTCACAATAGCGTTGGAATTAGCGTCAAAGAATGTCGCTTATCGCCAACCACAAGCATACCTGAATTTACAGTGGCGCTTGTGACCTTTCAGCCATGACACCATTCCATGATTGCGGCAACGGGCGCATTTCGGTTTTCGCATACCCCGCACAGTTGTGGGAAAAGGAAGAAATCCCGCCGTGTTCATGTTCACTGAGTCGAAACTGTAACCGTGTATCTCGTTATGTTCAGTCTGCAATCTTTCTTACTGGGCGTCGGCTTGGCCGGCTGCGAAGCACCGCCTACTTCACTATGCTGATTGGTTGCTTTCTCGGTAAAATGTATCATTGGCTGCAGAAAACAGCGTCTCATGCAGATGTTTAGGATGAATAGTAAACGTAGCAAAGAGAATAAACGCGACAGAGGAATTGAAGGGTCTGTCGGAAAATACGTTTCTCGATTTTACATTTGTTGCAGATATACGAGCATGCTTTTCGGTCAGACGAATGGCCGATACAGATTTAACTAGAGCGCGGGCTCCGCCGTCGAGTTGCCAGTGTGCAAACATAAAAACGGCTCGCCACTCACCTCACTGATGCTTGCATTAACGCGTTTGTGAAAAGGCTTTTTCTCGCCGAGCCACATGGGACTAAATTTCAAAGTGCAGCGCAAGCTTCCAGTATACTGTAGATTTCTAACTCCGCGACGATACTTTCAGACAGCAAATAACTTTCCTTTCTTGAGGTGTTTCACTAAAGGTTTCACTAAAGTATCGACAGTCAAATCACGTTTTCACCTACTCCAATAACAAACAGAAAAACTCACTTGTCAGATTTATACTCGAACGAATGACTAAAGAGACTTTTGAACCGCGTACAATAACTTTGACTTTAGCGCATAATGAGGGTTAAATGGCAAGATCACGTTAGTGCCTACTAGGAAAACTTAAAGATTTGTGGCATCCGGAGCTAAATTAGTTATCTGAATCAAGACGGATAAAAATGGCTGAAAATGAGGTCAGTGGCGAAATTTTGCTGATGCCTTCATCCAGCGGTAGAACGACAAAGGCTGATAATTTATTTTGAGGACCAACTCTATCCATATTAGTGCACAGGCATCGGCCGTTAAAGCAGGAGTTAAGAAACTGAGATTGGTCCTGTTGTAAAGTCTGGCTGAGTATATGCCATTTACCCAGCCCAGAGCTTCTTTCCGTGGGAACCAAATACAGCAAACCTCAACCTAAAGATCAGTATGCAGCAGTGGAGGTAAAAGCTGAATTGCATTTGGAAAGAAATTGTTCTTTCTATGATGCATTAGCCGATGTCCTTTAGCAGAAGTATTGTAAAGCTGAAAATACGAGGGACATCAAAGACTTAAAGCACTCTGCCTATGCAATCAGTTCAAGGTAATTTTAGCAACAAACTCACGCAAACACTTAATGTTCGGAGTGCTAATTTATTCGTGTTGGTTCAACAAGCGCATACTTTAACAAAAGTGCTCTCGTTTTGCCTGTGACCCTTGATTAACCCAGAGTTGAATACCCCATCCGTCGTCTAATCATTATTCAAAATATCAAAACAGCTGGACTGATTTGAATTAGGATAGTTGTGCATTTTAAAGTATTTATTCGCTTACCGTGTTGCAGTTAACGGTTTCTAGATCTAAACCAAAAGATGAACATATTTTGTTGGGAAAAGGAAAATGGGTTATTGTTTTTTTGCGTCGTTTTACAATAGAGGCGTGCAACGTGAGACATCGATAAATAGAAAGTAGTGTGGTGCATGTCATGTAAGACAGGCAGCCAGACGTATCAAAGACGTATTGATCACCCCGAAAAGCAACGGCGATATGTACAGCATGCCGCTCCGCAGCGAGCCGTGCAGAAGTGATGTTTACATTAAGGATTATATTGACGAATGTCAAGAAATCGGACAAATCTATGCTCAGTATATGGAAGCCGAAACGGACAGCATCGTATTAACCTTGATGCAGTTGATTTACTTCCATACAATTCTTCAGAATAAGGTTATAACTGTTCAGTAATGTTCATAAAGCGCTACCGTCAGTTCTCAGAATAGGCAACGAAAGAAGAGGCTCTAGTTCCAGTCAAGTTCAGTGAGTTATTCAAATGAACAGATAAATCACAAGAAAGCCGCTTACAGTCTATGTAGTTCTTCGTTATAAGCTAGTGTTGACAGAAAAGTGATCGTCAATTATTACTTCTTAGCAAAGTCGTTAATATTATGTTCAGAAGCATTGCTGAATTTTGACTAAGCGGACAAGGCGACAAATTTGTTTCGTTATATGCGTGGCATGGTTCTAACTACGCAATCAACGATTACCTTCCTAAAATTAAGTGAGATCATGATACCCAGTGATTTGAGAAGTTAAGCGCTATATTGCCATACTTCATGAAAGCCCATATTTTTGTCTGTATAATTTATATTAAAATTTGAACATGACTTGCGACATTGCACAGAGCAAAATAGTTTCATCAAAAAAATTATTCAAAATCCCTTCAGATTAAAGTTTATTTATGGTGAGTACAACTTTTTTCAGCGGTATTACAAGCTATTTCAGAGTTTTGGCAAAGATCAATGATTATCCAGGCAAGAAAAGACTTTTCACGCAGATTGTGAAATTGTACAAGTAATAACCATGAAATCCAGATTTCACCATATTTTAATTTTTTGTAATTACTACTAGTAAGCTTAAGTTGAACTTGAACTCTACAAAATGTAAAGGCATGACGGACAGTAAAGTTCGTATTTTCAGCTACAAAATAAATGCGACAGGATGAACGATTATTTAGCCTAAAGCTTGCAGCTGAACGTACCTAGAGTAGCTCGTAAAACTGACATTGTTTAATTTTTAATTTGTTTTCATTCGCAGTTTCTAGCGCTAGAGCCCGCGCTTGGAGCTTGACAGAACGACAGTGTCTGCTCGAAGGCTTCTGTTGGCCTATCAGAAAGCAAGACCAAGCAGATTAACTTCTCCATAAGAAGTGCCTAACTTCTGCTTGTCAGATGTGCTGTACTAGATCGAAAGATTT